CTGGGAAGAAGTATTATTGGCATCTTCTGGAGTTAATCTATGAAGTTGCTTTGTAATATTTATTTAACTTATCTGAGGAACATTAAAAGATAAGGAGAGAATAAATGTTTCAGATCCCTTTCTCCCATGCCAATTGACAATACCCATGGCATTGTAATTAGAAGTTACCATCATTCACAGTTGAAAACAATGTAAAGTCTTCTACTTTTAGTGGATGAAATGTTGGTACTACTGCATAGTTCAACTCAGTCTACCTGCCACACTCTTCTCTTTGTTAAGCTTTCATCCACTCATTAGCCATTCCTTTAAAAAATTTTACCCAGTGGAAATGATTGGCTATATTCACTGAAAATCTCGTAGCACTGTATGCATTTGCAGCTTTTATTTTCACCTAGAGCTAAGCTCTTCAGGGGATTGGTGGAAACTAGCTGCAAAAGACTTTTTGATCTATACAGAGAATCACTCAGGAAACTATTGACTGAATATGACTGGGTTGTTCCCACCCATCTAAATGGATAAGAAAAGATTGGCTTTCACTGTGAAGAGATGTTACAGGAAACTACATCAGTATCTCAGCTGCTTAAATGGGACTAATAAATAAATATCCCCAAGATAACCATTAAGCACCTAATAAGCACCCAATGCAGTAGTCCCACCTTATCCATAGGGGATATGTTTCAAGACCCCCAGTGGATGCCTGAAACCGTGGATAGTACAAATCCCTATCTATACACTGTTTTTTCGATCTGATAACTGAGATGGCTACTAAGAGACTAGTAAGTGGGTAGTAGAAAATGTGGATATGCTGGACAAAGGGATGACTCACATCCTTGGCAAGGTGGAGTGAGACAATGTGACATTTCACCACACTGCTCAGAACAGTGCACAGTTTAAAACTTACGAATTGTTTATTTCTGGAATTTTCCATTTAATATTTTTGGACCATGGCTCACCACTGGTAACAGAAACTAAAGAAATGAAACCATGGATAAAAGGAGAACTACTGTAAATATTTAATGATTAAATTAATTAACCATAAATTATAGCACTTAAAAATCCCTATTTATATCTTAATTGCGATAAGACTAGTCACAGCATGTGGATCTTCATTTTCAAAGAGACATTTCCAGAAAAATATTTAAAATTTTAACACGCCATTTATTATCATTTAGTATGTTATTTATAATTTGTGTCTCATTTTGAGAATTACTAATAATTAATGATTTAAATAGACATTATTTATTCTTTTGAACATAACTTGCTGCATTATTCAGTGTGATTTATTGTACATCTTGGGACCAGAAAATGTTTCTGATGGGATTAATTTTCAGTTTCATTATGAAAATAGATGAGATGCAGCATGATATATTGGAAAGAGGCAGAATGTGAATCAAAAGACATGAGTTTAATTCTTAGCTCATCCACTAACAATACAATATTGAAAAAGCTGTTTATCTTCCCAGAACTTTTAGTTTTATCATCCAGAAAAATGAAAGTAATGTCATAAGCAGAGTTGCCTCCCAAGATTTTGTGCTTTGTAAACTGAAAACCAACGATACATGTAAGTGTGCAGAAAGTCTGATAAGATTTAGAACATTGGACTTAACAAGCAGCTTTTGCAGAGACACATTTATTCCTCAAATTGGCCCACACTTGGAGCACACGTGTGGTTTTTCCTTCTCAAATGGTTTTCTGCTGCAACCATGCTTCCACATTATAATCATGATGGTACTCTGGCAATCTTAATTTTCGAAAAAAGCTGGTTGGTGATTTATTTTTCAGTAGAAAAGGGCAAGGATTTATGGGAAAAATCCCTTTGATATCCCCATTCTTTAGCCTTCACCTTTATAACATTAGAAGATCATGCTTCATTTCTAGACTGGACATAAAAATAATTCTTTGAACACAGTAATTTCAGGGAATAAATAGTTTGAGTACTGTCTTCTGATTGTAAAATGGCCAGAAGTAGCTCTTCTTTTATTATGTAATAGATAGGTTTGCTATAATTGTTCACTTGGTTTTACATATCAGTAACTATAAAGTCAAAAGCCATTTTATACAGCTAACTCATTGATAGGATTAGAAACATTGTGATTGGCATTTTTCAATATTAAATTAAATTGGAGCCAGCTACAATTTATTGGGAAAAGTTTAAAACAAAATGCTTTAAAAACTATATGTATTTTACAATGGACTTTTATTCTAATTTGCAATGGATGGCAATTTTAATGTTCCAGGCTAAGCTTAATATACAGCCAAGAATGATTTCAAAATGGCATAAACTCTGCTTTTCAAGGAAGCTAAAGTAAAAGTAGAATGTACTCGAGCAATTGCACAACATCTTGGTCAAAAATAAAGTCACCATTAATTTCCCAATTAAACAGTAATTGCTGTTTGGATCTTCTGTGATAGTTTTGTTTAACCCAGGTTTTGGACCACTCTAGATCAGTCTTGCTTGATGAGTTAGGTGTGGCAGCAAAGTCTTGCCTGGCCTTCTCGGCAGGCCTCAGTGAGGCTCAAACTATGGGGATAGTGAATGAGTAGGAGCCAGGCCAACAGGTTGCACAGTTGTGATGGAGAAGTATAGGAACAGTGGTGAACTCGTTCATGTTTAACAACTAGCTTGGGTGGAGAGGGGAGGCAGAGAGCCCTGATGTGTCACATTTGCCAATTCCTACAGTGTGAACACTCCCATTTCAAAGCTACCAGTGGCTTAACAACTTGTTCACAACATTCCGGAAAATTTAACAGTCAACTCCCACGAGTTTGGGTGAAGCTAGCTCTAGCATACTAATGAGAGAAAGTATAGAGGAAGGGAAGAGAGAATCCCCACACCCTCCCTATGCCAACAAAAAGGGTTGAGAATAGAGATTACTCCCAAGTCCACAAATCAGCCAGAAAGAGAAAGGGCTTCACTGAATGCTTTGTTTTTAAGTTGCAGAGGTTAGACATCTACTATGCAGCAACATAACCCCTTCCTCTGTTTCCTGTGTGAACTCTATAGCAAATTCTACATTGATTATTATTGAGGGAGTTTAAAGAAGAAGATAGGCACAGTCATATATGGGGTCACTCATGACAAAAAGTATACAAGTTTAACAGGGCACACACGTATAGTCATGCCCCCTTTCATGCTAAGAAATGGGAAATTAGGAAGGATGAGTTGGTGAACTGACGGAGTTGACTAGCTATTGAGCTCTAATGTGAGAATTTTCAGACAATACATCGAAGGAGGGCTGGACTTTCATACAGGGAGATTTGTGGATAGGAAAAGTCAGTGGAAGTCAATACTGGGGAAAGTTATTACATAGAAGCCATAATCCATGGAATAAGGAAATGTTGCTTTGAGTTTATTCAGAGTAGTTTATGGCCTCGTTATACTTCATATGTATATTTAAATATGCATTTCCTCAGTTAACAAGAACAATCAGTATGTCCTAGGGATGGCGTGGCTAGAAATGGTCTGTCCTCAATGTCCTAAGGGGAAGAGAGACAGTCGGAAACCAACATGTAAACTCAAAATTAAATTCAGTGTGGGAAAGGCTAGTATAGAAATATTCGTCAAAGCCCTCTGAGAGCTCACAGAAAGTAACAACTTACTAGCTATCCAAGGAACTCTTTAAAAAGCATTACCAATTTAAATGTGCTCTAAGTTCACAGTAAATCGAATTTCAAATTTTAGATATTTGCTCTTTAATAATGGTTGATACATAGTGCATATTATCATAGTTATACCATCATGGAAAATATAATGTTTAGTCTAATAATGAACATTTTTTAAAGTTCCTTTTGAGGAGTGAGTGATGTTCCATAAACTCCAACTTAACTGTACAGTTTGAAGAGTCTTAATACACACACACACACACACACACACACACACACACACACACACACACCATCACTATAATCAAGATTATGAACATGTTCCTCACCCCCAAAAGTTCTCTCATGCTCTTTTGTAATCCATCTGTCTCCCCGACAAAAACCCACATGTTAACGCCATCCCAGGCAACCCCTGATGTGTTTTTGACTCATGTTGGTAGCATCATCGAAGGAAGAGAAACCCAAGAGGAAGGTAGATTTCATGGGCAAAGGTGTTGCTTGGTTGACTACATTCCCTGCCTATAAGAAATACTGCCCTTCAGAAATGAACTTGGGAGAATCTGCATTGTACCACATGTGGGTAGGGGTATAATTTTTCCTGACAAAGCTCTTTATTGCCCGCTCCCTCCCCTATCCCTTCACCAACATATACTCTGTCATTGTGGTAGAGCTTTAATCTCTAATAGCTGGCAACTAATGACTAAGATATTAATTGAAAGAAAATGTAAAGGTTTTCTCATTCAAAGGGATATTTGCATTTCAAATGAGAATGCTTGAAGACCGAAGTGTATTCTGTGCTTAAGGAATTAATACTTAATGATGAAGTTTCACATAGAAGGAGATCTATTGGGCACTGAAGGGCTAAGAGAAGTGTATATTGATATAAAAATTTATAGTCACAGAGGTACAATTTGAGAAGCACTGAACAGGACCCCAATCTGGTTTTTTATGTACTGTTCAAAATTACAACTTAACATGGTTATTTTGTGGACATTTTATCTATACATCTCAAGGTAAATCTGTGAACTTAGAGTCTGAAAAAAGTGACTGTGTATTTATGATAAACATCTATAAAGAACATATTTATTAGTCAAGGAGTTAAAGCTAAGGTGAAATGCCCATAAGATACATATGTGAGTTGGTATGCTATCATGGTTTTAATACTGTACTTGGCTTATGATATGTGCAAATTATACATACCTAAACCAACAACATGATTATTTGCAAATTGTATTTTCCTAGGTATTTTGAAATGAATATGATTTTAATTGTGTCTACTTCACCTTATTTCAGAAGAGATTTAGAGGACTAAAATGAGTAGATTATAAAAATAATCCTCCTAGAAGACTTATATGTGAGATCGTTATTTTCTAATTCCATTGACATTTAACTTTTAGGTATTCGGAAAATGACTACCTTCACATTATCGCAAACATACAGAGCTGTCCATGGAAACGACAAGCAGAAGAATACGCAAATTTTAGGTAAAAATTATTTTTTTATAAATAATATGGAATTTAAAAATGTTTTGTTCATTTGCTTTTTGGGAAAAAATAGGCAACATGTTGTTAAAAGGAAAGATAGAACTGACTAGCCAGCAATCAAAATGATTGAATTCTAAGACCCTCTCAAGAGGCACATGGCACTATGTCCCCATCTTTCATACAGAAATTTGTAATTATGTTACTGGAACTAATTACAAAAATCCCACATTCAAAAGAAGGTTTTTTATTATGTCTTTTGTTACATTTTAGAAGATGTTGTCTCTTCTTTCTACCATTTTATATTTAGCATTTATTTATTTATTTTGTAAATACAAGGTAATAGCGTTAGGGTATGTTTGGAAAACATAATCTATAATCCCATCACTTTAGAATCAAAACTGTTTTGTTTTTCTGCATGTTCTCTCCTAGTTTTGCCTCATTAGCTTTTTTTTAACACAAGTGACATTCAGGGACATGAGTTGTTGTAATAATAACCGAGGGAGGAGACATCAACCTGGCAAAACCAGGTTCTCAGTTGACCATTCTAGAGCTGTCCGTCGTGCCTGGAGAACTTGAAACCCATCCAGACAGAAATAAATTTTGCTAAAACAATATGATGCAGGGGAGCATCGATACTTATCTGGTAGCTCTGCCCGCAATCCCTCCATATACCACAGAGCTAGGTCAGCTGTCTCTGTGCTTTCTTGGTCTAGGTTGCTCTGTTTTTTATTTGTTGGCTTTCATTTTTTGTTTTGGGGGATTTTTTTTTTTTTTCGCTCACATTCTTATTCTTTGCTATATATCCCACACTGTCTTTGTCTTGTGCCAAATGTGTCTTTCTCTTTACTTGTTTATATTATTAATGTTTACTTTAAACATCAGATCTTTTAAAAATCTTACTAAAGAGACTTTGCTTTCCCCTAATATACTCTCAGAAATATCTGCTGCCTGGAGCTCTTTCTTGCGGGAAGGTAACCCTTCTTGTCTGCATCATGCTGTGGCTCCTCCTGTTCCTCCTTCAGTCGGTATACACTGGTATCGTTGGCCCGGCTGCCTTTGATTCTGCTGACAGTATCAGAGGGCGCTGGTCAGCCCTGATGGGTGAAAGAGTAGCTTCCCGATTGGGTCAAAGCTAAGAGTGGATATCTTCCTGCCACTGGGTGGACACATGGATGGCATGACTTCCTGTAGGGTACCATTAAGCATCTTTCCTCCCTGGCATTTCAGGGTGAGAGGCTGAAAAGGGGATTCCTGTTTACCTATTTCATTTCCAGGATATTTTATGCTACACAGCTCTACTCCAGACTGGATTTGAGAGATCCTGGTGGCAGGGAGACAATTGTAACCTAAAGAAGTGGCAACAGAGTCTTTGAGACTTTGAGAGAACTTTCTACATATGCTGAATAGGCACAAAAGGAAGGGGGAGAGTTTGAGGTATTGAGCTACTAAGGATCAATCCACAATAATTAGCTGCAAAGATAGACACGTAGTGAGAGCACTAATGAAAGTAGAAGTAGAGGAGATTTTGCTTCTGGCTGAGTTGATTGAAACCAAGCTTCTTGAGAATAGTGCAAAGTCTACTATACACCTGTTTGAGGGCCTTGGAGAGCTACCTGAGGCAGGGAGAATTTATAGGACTAAAATCAGGAGGAAGAGAGAAACCAAGGGAGGGGAGCCCAACCTTTGGGGCTGCTTTTTCCTGGAACTTGCCAAACATGAATGCAAAAGTATGGCTGAAAGGCAGAGAAGCTGAGCAGAGCTTCCAGCAATTCCTGGAAAAGTCAATGCTCAAAAGAACTGAAGCCCAAATTTGAATCGTTTCCATCCTGAGTTGAATTTAGATCTGCCCTTAGCTTGGATCCCTGATAGAAATGAAAGTAAATCCTCCTGGGGGAAGGTAACCTTATTCAGAGCCTAAAGTTATCTCTGCAAGTTTTCACACGCAATGTCTGGATCAATTTTTAGAATATATTCTCTATAAAGGTTTTTTTTTTCTTTCGTTCCTCCTTCTTCTTCTCCTCCTCCTCCCCTTCCTCTTTCTTCTTCATCAAAAATCAGCAGTCTCTTCAAATCCAGAGCTGCATGAGAGTCATTGCTGCAGATTATGATGGACAGAAAAGCTGTATAGATGGATGGTCCAAGGACAGTACAGCCATTCTTTCCATAGTACCATCTTGGTATTAAAAAATGCATCCGTAACTATGATGATTACCCAATGGCCTATCCATCCCTTCAGGGCCAATTTAAATAAACATCTGGGGATATAATACTTATTATTTGTTGTCTTTGAAGAGAACAGGCATGATGATATTTGTTTATTTACTTGAATATTTATTATTCCATAATGTTCTTTTTATGGGCATATTTGTAAACTAAATTATATAAACCCACAACAGAAGTCTGTGCAATTAAATTATAACAAATCATCTACTTTCCTAAATTTTTACTAATATAGCTGGGCCAAATCTGAGTCATCTCTGGCTTATGTATAAAGCTGGTAACATAAATATGTCCCCTGTAATTATTGATGTCAAATAGCTAAATCGTTTTCATTTGATTTATTTAGAGCATTTTGTACCAAATTGAAGAAAAGTAAAATGTGAGCCTAAAAATGTGATAATTTTTTTTTTAGTAGCAATTACAAAAGTTGCATTAAATTCTAAATAATATGAACAAGTGAATATATTCTAAACCCATCTGCATCCTGAAATCTGATTGTTGAAACTTCTAATAGTTGACACCTAGGGACTATTTGAAAATTATGGGACTCTTATGGTCAAATGATCTAATAGTAAGCTTAAAACTTATTTTTATTAAATAAATATGTTCCTTGCAAGCAAAAAGGGTAAATTCTATTCATCAATAAATTTGTGTAGAGTTTACTAAGTCAAAGCACTTTAGACCTCTTTAGTGCCCAGTGTGATGCTGGGCATATAATAGGGCCTTGATAAATATATATTAGATAAATGGATACATGAAAGTAAACAAGAAAACGCAAGGTTGTCTTACTGACCTCAAAGAATTTATAGTCCGTTTTGAGAGACAAGAAATAAAAGTATGAATATTTATGATTGAATGTCAGAATGAGTGATTTAACAAATACTGTGATATATTAATGCAAGATCACTGTGGGATGTAATTTTTTGAAACATTTTGCGGAAAGAGGTAGGACTTGAGCTGTAGCTCTGTCTGGTGGCTACAGGTGGAAAGGGAGGGAGAGATCAATTTTGGGGTGATGGGGCCAGGAATTAAGGCCAGTAAAGTTCAAGGCTAGCTGGGCTGAAGCAATGAACTTGAAATACAAGGTGCTTGAAATAAAGGGGATAATTTTAGGTAGACAAGGGAGGGTCTGATGATGCACAGGGCTCTGCTTATCAGAGTAAAGTCCACAGACACTCTGTAGACACTGGGAGTCCAATAAGGATATTGCTAGCAAAGGAATTACAAGGTGAATTTTTTGTTTCAGTCAGCATAATGTTGTGAGTAGGCTAGAGTGTTAGGAGGGAGTAAGTAGTTTAAAGGAGCCACAGCAGTTAGTAGTTAGCAGTAAGAAAAGTGAGCACAGGATAGTGAGCACCTGCAAAATCAATGGTACCTATGAAAATATCAAGGGTGAGACTTGCCTATGAGCTCTCTGGGGGTGTGGCATGTCTTATTTATCTCTGTATTTCGAGTGCCTGTCACACAGATGTTACCCAATAAATAGCTGCATGACTGAAGATGTGATAGGACCTGATTGCTTGTTGACTTCCCAGTTCTCTAAGTCAAAGAGAAGAAAAATAAAGTCAAATGAGAAATTTTGGGTCTGGTTGATTGGGATAATCATGGTGCTACTGACAAACTGAAAGGTTTCAAGGGGAAATTGCTTTTGAGAAGATAAGCCCATCTTGGACAGTATGCATTTCAGCTGACTTTGGGGACAAGTGGATACGGAAGACCTTTCCTTGGTCTGGGAAAAATCTAAATGCTAAGAGAAAATGGACTTTCTTCCCCCAGAGAAAAGCAACTGCAATTTAAAGTTGGCTTATGCAAGAAATAGGGTCCCTCCAAGTATATCTTCTGACCAATTTTGTATGTGTAGGTGTGCTATAATGGAGTTTATCCTCTTTTTATAGATTCCTAAGCTTTTATTTATTTCACACTTAATTGTGGGTCTGAGAACTGTGTAGCCTGGAATTTGAATAGTCAGCTTCTCTTAGCCTTTACCTGGAAGCATGAGAGGCTTAACTGGAAGGGTTCTTCATCTGAAGTCTATGCCAGTGGGTTCCAAAAACCCTTGAAACTGTATGTGAAATTTTGTACATGTTTCTGGGGAAAGAATCCATAACTTTCATCAGTTTCTCAAGGAGTCTAGGACCTTCCAAATGGACTAATGTATTTCTAAGGACTTTTCTGCCCCTGAGACTCTGTTTGCTTTGGGACTTGACTTCTTGTTTCACCTTCCATGTTGGCATGGTTATCATAAGCATAGGTGTCTGTCTGGCTCAGATTTACCCATCCCTGTCCTCCAGACAGTCTAAGTTTCGGTTGAACTTAGTTACAGAGAGATTTAAGTAAGAGTGGAAGATGTCCCGCCTCCTGTTTTTTTCTTGGCATCTAATTTCATTTACATGTAGTTGTACAAAGTCAACAATGTTGAGGTGTCTGCCTTATCTGCTTTTAAAACCATTTATTTATTCTCCCATTAGAGTTTATTTTTTTTTACTAAGCACAAGCTAATACACAGAATAATTTGTGGAAAATCTACCTGGATTTCAGTCTATGAAATTATTGTTTTTCACATTCTCACTCTCTTGATTTTGAAACTGATGGATAACCATTTTCTTGAGCATGAAACTCAGATATTTGAGATTAACATAGAGATGCTTAAATTTAAATTAAACATGATATGAGACACCCTCTGTTCTTCTCTCCTTTGTAAAGCTCTAGAAACTTCTGGCAAACAGGTTTTATCCCAGCAGAAGATCTTTGAGCTTCAGTAATTAGTCTTAGATTCCCTA